TTCGTGCGGAAATATGTGCGGTCTCTAATCGAAAGGGACGACGACGACGACGACAACGACAAGGTACAGTGGAGTTTCAAGGGCAAGGTTTCGAACGTGCGAGGGATAGTTAATGAGCGAGACTCGCGTAAGCCAGAGTTTTTCTTATCGCCGCACGCTCTGTTAAAACATAGCTAACGTGTTTCGAGTATTTCCATGAAACAGATAATATCAGGAATATATTTTATTTCTTTAAATGTATAATTTGTTTTTTTTTTTTTTTTTTCTTTTCTTTTTCTTCGATTTGTCAAAAATTCGGGAGATTTTTCATACGTTCGTACGAAACGAATTTGAATTTTATATACATCCAAAGAACGATATTATTTGTGAGAGAATTTGAATTCTTATGCTAACGAATGAATTTATTTCTTTGCATTTGAATACTTATGCTGAACGAAAGAATTTATTCGTGTTATTTCGTAATAAGGAATTAAACTAGCTGCGCGTTAGAATAATTTCAAATATGGAGAAAATATTTTTATGTGTGTATATATATACATATATATATATATATATATATGATTTCTTTTCTTATTGAAAAAAAAAAAATTTTTTTTGTTTCGTTTTATTTCTTTTATTGTCTTCACACGAATTATTATACTCGAAAGTAATACTTGCGATGACACACTATTGATTTATAATACCGCTATGAAAAGTAGTCATCGATAAGTGGTAGAAAGTTGTCCATCGTATAAAATCGAAACGTACTTTAAATGTATCGTAAAGAAGTGAACAAATTTTTTACTTGTGCTTGAATGATCGATCCTCGAGAACTAACAAGTATCTACTTTGAAGTTATTGCACATACCTACATCGAGTTAACAAAGTGGAATACTAAAAGGATCGATTTCTTTCGATTTCTCGAAATCACTCGATCTCTCGAGAATAAAAGAAACAAGATGCTGCCTTTTATTTTTCCACTCCTTCCTAGGTACACCTACTTTGACGTATATATTCTACATTGAGCTTACAAGGTGGGAAAACTAAAAAGATCGATTTCTTTCGATTTCTCGATATCACTCGATCTCTCGATCTCTCGAGAATTAGAGAAATGAGAAGGTGCCTTTTATTTTTCATTATTTGCCGATTATTATCTCGTTTCGTAGTAATTTGCTTTCACGTACGTTAGAACAGCTGGTTTATTCTAATGCGTTTTTTAAAGTTGCAAATTTTCTTTTCTTTTTTTTTTTTTTTTTTTTTTTCTTTAATTCAATATTATATTCGCGTGTATATTTAAATAAGTTTATTTTACATGAAAAGTTTCACATATTCGTTGTAGTCTCACAAGCGTAATTCACAAAGTCGTTAGTTCGTTAGTTCGTTAGTTCGTTAGTTCATTCACGGAATTCTATTCGAGATCAAAGTACGTGAGTCTGTGTTCGTGTATGCGTGTAAATGAGTGTGAGTGTGAAAGTGTCCTATGAGATGAACCGTTAGACTCAGGTCTTTTGATCGCGTTAACGATGCGACTCCTATCGCCTAACAATCATGTTTTATTTTTATTTTTTTGCTTTTTTTTTTAATTATTTCCAAACTTCTTTTTTTCCTCTTTCGATTCTTTTTATTCCCCTTTTTTAAAATCTTTTTCTTTCTTTCTTTTTTTCTTTTTTTCTTTTTTTATTTCATTTGAAATTGATGATAGCTCGTTAGTTAAGCTAACTAAATTGTGTGTAATTAAGAACTTGAACGAGCGATAAGATTGTAAGTGATGGCCTTTAGGTTCGCTTTTAATTAGATTCTTTCGTTTCTCGAGGGAATCGATCGAGATTTCAAGTGGGGTGAACGCTCTCGTTTCTGGTGGTTAGAACGACGTTAGGATGATTCATTGTCCCTTTATAACATATAAGTACATGTATGTATATACGCGCGCGCGCGCGTGTGTGTATGTGTGTGCATATATTTGGATATATGCGTGTAAAGTGTCGATAGGAGAATGACCAAGTGAATTTTCCACTCGCCGTTAAATCGTGCACCATCATTTCTTTCTCTAACAATTAAACGTTTCCGCAGGTGGTGATAGTTGGTAATGGCGCTGTGGGAAAATCTTCAATGATTCAGAGGTTCTGCAAGGGTACTTACACGAGGGATTATAAGAAGACTATTGGCGTTGATTTTCTCGAGCGAGAAATAGAGTAAGACATTTATATATTTCTTCTTCTTCTTCTTCTTCTATTTCTTCTTCTTCTTCTTCTTATTTCTTCTTCTTTTTTATTTTTTACAATCATCGTACTTCAAGCGTGTTCACAAACAAAAATATTTTCTTCTTTTCTTTCTTTCTTTTTTTTTTTGCAATAAACATTTTTACGATTGTCAGAGTATATTTTTAGAATTATATTGATAAGTGTGATTATGAAAAAGGCCTTGGTTTTTTTTTTCTTTTTGCAATAAACATTTTATTTTTGCAATGAATAATGTATTTTTGGAATTACGCATTGATAAGTGTGATTACAGAAAAAGATTTTGTTTGTTTTTTTTTCCTTTTTTTTTTGGTAATAAAATCTTCACGATCGTTATAATGTATTTTTTTTAGAATTATCCATTGATAAGTTTATAGAAAAAGATTATAGAAAAAGATTTTGTTTTTATTGCTTATTTTTTTTTCTTTCTGTTTTCCTTTTAGAATAAACATCTTCGTGATTGTTAGAACATATATTTCTGTAATCGTACCGATTCGATCTACGATAGTAACCATTCTTTTTTTTCTTTTTTTTTTTTTTTTTGTTAAACAAAATTCTGACAAACTTTTTCGTTCTCTTTTATTCGCAGGGTGGATGGCGAAGACGTGAGATTGATGCTATGGGACACCGCGGGTCAAGAAGAGTTCGATGCCATAACGGCGGCTTATTATCGCGGTGCACACGCTTGCGTACTTGCTTATTCTGCTACAGATAGAAATTCTTTCGATGCTATTCCTTCATGGAAATTAAAGGTACGTAAGTAGGTAATGTAATCAAGCGCGATAAAGACCAAAAAAAAAAAGAAAGAAAGAAAAAAATAAGATAAAAGAATTAATAAAATATCGTCTCTTCGGTCTTATTTTCTTTTTTTAAATCACGAAAATCACGTACGGACAGATATGAGTTGTTACAATGTTAGAGCGTTGAAAGAAAAAAAAAAAAAATAAAAAAGAGAAAAAAGAGATCACGTATGTACATTACATACGAAGAATATGATTATGCGCGCGAATATGTATGTATGTATGTATGTATGTATGTATGCATGCATGTATGTATGTATGTATGTATGTATGTATGTATGTATGTATGTATATCAAAGAGAAGGATGTAGATAATCGCGTTCACGAGAACGAAGCTCGCGTTAGCTTGGACGCTTTAATGCGAATCGACGAGACAGATACGCGTGTTCTCCATCCTTTCTATCTCCTTTCTCGGGGACGGATTGTGGTAGAGGATACGCGTAACCGTTATCGTTTCAGTAACGAAGCCTTTGCTTCGTTTTACACCGAATTATCTGACGTTGTATGCCCCGTAGGCACTGCACCATAATACACACGAACAATATTTTTTCTTCTTCTTCTTCTTCCTTTTTTTCTTCTTACATATTTTTTTCTTTTTCTCATTTTTTCTTCTTCTTTTTTTTTCATCATACACCGTTATAACGAGGACGAGGTATCCAAGCTGAGTCATTTATTAGGCTATTAATCAAAAGAAAAAAAGAAGAGGAATAAGAAGAAAGAAAAAGGGAAAAAAAAATAATTTTGAGATAAAGTTGTATACTTTAAATCGATATGGCGATATTATACGCCTGTCTCATTTGTATAATATTTTATATATCTATACAATAATTTTTCGTTCTTTATTTATTTTTTTATCTATTTATTTATTCATTTTTTTTTCTCCTTTTCTTTTCTCCCATTTATTCAGGTAGAAAATGAATGCGGCGAAATACCGACGGTACTCGTACAGAACAAGATGGATTTAGTCGATCAATGCGTCATCGGTCTGTAAGTGAAAGAAAGATCAAAATTTATATTCTATTTTCTTAATTTTTCTTCTTTCGCTGCTCCCTCCCCCGCCACCGTCCGCCCGCTTCCTATTATTTGAGTGCATGTTTGTTCTTCCGAATAATAATATTGTAGTTTGTTTATTTCGATATGCAAAATTTGTCTTTAATCCGTCTGCTTTATTTGTCTGTTTTCTTTCTATTTGAAATACAATACGTGTATTTATATATGTGTATACATATATATATATATATATATATATATATATATATATATTTATACACATATTGCATGATCATCTGCAAAAGCAAGGTATCGTTTCAGGGACGAAGCTGAGAGGCTTGGTCGTGTTCTTGGATGTAAACTCTTGCGAACATCCGTAAAGGAAGACGTCGGTGTTATGAGCGTATTCCGACATTTAGCATCACGATGTTTACATGAGATGCGTAGGAATGATAATGATTATCAGGATGATTTAAGGTTGTATTCTACTGGACCGAGATCTCCTTCTGTAATAAGTGAGTAAATCTTTTTTTTTTTTTATAAATTCTTGACAAGTAAGATTGAAACTTTATTAATGAAAATGTTTCAATAAATTTTATCAATGAAAATGTTTCAATGTATCAATGAAAATACTTATTTGATACTTATTTCAAACGAAACGACATATTTGATAATAATTATTATTTATATTTTGTTTTTTTTTTCTTTTTGTTTTCTTTTTTATGTTCGTAGGTGCCTTTAGTCCAAACGGATCAACGTGTTGTCGTAATAGCGGAAACGGAACGATTGTTTTAAGGTCAGGAGGTAAAACGAGGAATCACAAAAAAAAGAATTTCGTAAAGAGCGCCTGTAGACTACTCTAATCAAAGAAATATTAATCTAGTAAAGCACCTACAAGTTGATCGATTTAGAGTGGCAATGTGCAACATAATGTTAATATGTAACTTATAGATTATGCCTGAGTGTTTGTAGTACCACCTCCTCTCTGTCTTTATTTTTTAAAGAAAAATTCCGTCCAGGGCGAGTTACAGGAAGATTTTGATGTGCGTGTGTGCGTGCGAGTGCGAGTGCGTGTGCGTGTGCGTGTGCGTTCGTGCGTGCATGTATGTATGTGTAAACGCTCGTACAAAAAAAAAACAAAAAATAGAGAGAGAGAGAGAGAGAAAGTTAGAAAAAGAATATATATATATGATGAAAATTTAATAGTGCAAGACAATGTATGGTACGAACGTATTTGTAAATAATTTTTAATTTGCATATGAAAAAACGAGCTCGTAGATGTATATTGTCGTTGCATTAATAGTAATTAATCACTAATTAATATCTATCGAAATCAATGATTTTTTTATGTATGATTAATATAATTAATTTCTTTTTAATACCAATGGGTTAATAGTTTACATCGAAACATATCGAGATGATATAAATTCAGGTAAAATAGTTAGATATACGTATGAATGATTATAGAGCGAATATTTATTGCTGTTTTATAAATCGAATATTATATTTATATATTCTATCCCTTTTGAACAATTTTTTCTTTTTTCTTTTTCATTCTGAAAACTTTTCGAATTGAATTACATATTTTTATTATTATTATTATATATATATATATATATATATATATATATATATGTATTTAACACGTTTTGTATATATATTTTTATCATTTTTTTTTGCAGCGAAATTTCGACATTATATACTTTTTTGTTAATATTGTCGAGCGAACGTTTAGAATAGACCAAAACTAAATATATATTGCAAACACCTATTTATGTATATATATATATATATATATATATATATATATATATATATATATATAACCCGTATAAGGGAATATTATTTGTTTGACGAGTCGAAATGTTAAACTTTATGATAAGTATTTGTTAATGTATGGGAGCAGGAAAAAAATAAATTGATCGGCTATTTTTAGCTGGTATTTTTTCTCTTTTTTTTTTTTTATTTATTTGCATGAAGCATGTTTGTAATTTAGTCCAACAACGACAAGAAGAATGTTTCGATTCGAACAAGTCGAAAGTAAAAGAAAATTCAAGCTGGAAAATGATCTCATTTAGTAACCATTTATCTAATATATACAAATTTCTCTGATTAATATTTAAATCCATTCATTGACGTATATACATATAAACGAACATAGGTAATTTAGTCCATTAATATAATCTTAAGGCATCATAAAATATATTTAAACTCCACCATTAATCGTCAATTTGTTCTTTCTTTTAAACCAAAAAAAAAAAAAAAGGAAAAAGAATTCGTTTAGAAGAATCAATTTTTAACATTATTAAATATTAACAAAGAAAATCATTATAATTAAATTGTGCAAATGGAGTAAGAGTTTAAGAAAGATTCGAACTCCATTCTGTATCCATTTGTTTTTTATTATTTTTTTTTTTTTTTGATCGGAGAAAAATTCTAATTCGTTCTATTTACAAGAAACAAGTTTTTGATACTATTGTGTTAACGAAAAAAAAAAAACAAACAAATTCTAATAATTAACGCATTATCAAAGAAAAAAATGAATCCAACGTTTTCTGTTTCACTGACCATCAAACTGGAAACGTAATTAGTATTCTATAATTAATTGTATACATACATATTCATCAATTTTGAACGAAATATTTCATTTATTATATCCAACATTTAAATATTGCGCACTAAGTGTATATAAACGCATGTAAATATTTAAACGTTTGTTATCTGAACAGGTGTGTATGCATATTTGATATACATACATGTACATATGTACATATTTTTCAATACCGTCCAAGTACGCTTCAGGTAAGATCAATTTCACACTATATATATAGTGTGAAATATATATATATATATTATATATATATATATAATATAGAAATATATATATATATATATATATATATATATATATCGTCAAACAATGTGTTAAAGTGTGAAAATCTACTAGAAAGATCTTAAGAAAGTAAGGAATGCGGTACAAATGGCGTGAAAGATCGAAAAAAGAACAATAAATAAATAAATAAATAAAATCAAGGAGTAAGAAGAAGAAGAAGAAGAAGAAGAAGAAGAAGATGAAGATGAAGATGAAGAAGAAGAAGATGAAGAAACTAAGGAAGGGAGAAAGGAAAGTCGTCGAAGAAGAAGAAGAAGAAGAAGAAGAAGAAGAAGAAGAGGGAGAAGAAGGAAAAGGAAAAAAGAAAAGATGGAGGAGTGGGAGAACGTGAGCATGGTTCGTGCATGCTATCGTCTGTTAAAGTCAGTAGAAGAAGAGGAGGTAGACTCGTGCACGGCGTGTTTCTCCTCTTCCTCCTCCTCCTCCTCTTCATCCTCCTCCTTTCTTCTCCTCCTTCTCCTCTCATAGCTCGTTCCTTTTCCGTGCTATCTCGTCCTCCCAGTACCTATCAGACAGTCACGCGGTCACGAAGCAACCGTGAACTCGCTTCGCTCGTAAAAGACTCCCAGAGAGTCACGGTACATAACGCGCTTCCGCTTGGTCTTCGTCTCTTTACACAGAGATTCATATATTTTTTTCCTTTTCTTTTCTTTTTTTTTTTATTTTTATCCTTTTGCCCCGCCCTTCCCCGTTTTTTTTTCTTTTCGTTTGTTTCCTATCTTCCTTTTTTTTTCTTCCTTTTTTATTTTTTCCTTTTTTCTTTTTTTTATTCGTTCCTCTCGTTGCAGACCTCCTTCTCTCTACTGCGTTTGAATCACGAATGATATGCACGTGAGTAACAAAAACTTATTGTTGTTTGTTTATCGTTAAAACTTTTTTTCGTAGAATAATCATTTCTTTTACCTTTATTATGGGTCATGATTGTTGTTGTCACGAATCATCGAACTTTCGATTGTTATTTGAATTATATTGCGTTTACTTTTATTTTCTTTTTCTTCTTCTTCTTCTTCTTCTTCTTCTCTTATATAGAATTTTTCTTCATTCTGTTTTTATCTAGAAAATTAATATTGATATTGCTATTATTATTATTATTATTATTATTATTATTATTATTATTATTATTATTATTATTATTATTATTATTGTTATTGTCGCTGTCGTTGTTGTGTTTTAATATGGCCTCAATCTATGAGATTTATTAGTCATATGCACATATATATATATATATATATATATATATATATATATAAATAATATATCTATATATTATTAATAATATGTAAAAATAATTTTCTTTAAAAAGAGATAATTTAATGTTTATTTTATTCACAAATATTCATCTAAATCTCAAAAAAAAGCAGAACTGTGAAATAAAGAAAAAAACAGATTTATGATAAATCGTGGACAAACTGTCGTAAATATTGTGGTTAAAAAATTAGATTGAAAATGTACGTACATACATATGTAAATATTTACTCTCTTCGTAAACGATAAATCTATTTGTAATAGATATACATAAGATGTAATAATAAAGTGTACGGTGAATTTATATACTGTGATAATAAATTTATATTATAATTAGTCGATAAATCAAAGTAGCACAAAGCTCTAAAATACGAGATATGTCTCTTTGATGAATTTTGATAGAAAACTATATAACGCCGTGCAAGAACATGCGAGCGATAATTTACAATCGCATAAAGTGAAGTAACGAGGATAATGCGCATCGCGGTGCATCAAGAACGATGATTATGAGAATCATGCTTGTATTTTTATGAACTTCCGGATAATGATACAATGTAATATTAAAACTGATTTTTCTTTTTCACTGAAGCTTGTTTATGAAGCATTACGATTTTTTTTTCTCTTTTTTCATTTCTAATTCTAATCTCACGACGTAACTCATTATCAACTGATATTGTTAAAGCATAATTTTATGCACAAATTTTTTTAAATTTCATTATTATAGGACTTTGAACGCTTATGAATAATTCATGAAGTATGACATTTCAAAGATATTTCGCATTCTTCGAACGTCTATACTAAAGATCTTATCTATCAGGAAAAAAAAAGTAGAAAGGAAAGAGTTGTGTATATCTAAAATTAAGATAAAGGTAAATAAATAAATAAATAAATAAATAAATAAATAAATAAATAAATCAATGAATGAATGAATGAATAATAATAACAATAATAATAAAATATATAATAAGAAATATATATATAAACATACACACACACACATATATATTATATATAGCTAGACGATCGAGTTTCATATGAGAATTGGCGCGAAACAGGAATGCTAAATTAGTTAACTTGTGTTAGTGTTGTTCGACGCACATTTCAAGGAAAATTTCCATATATAAACAAGAGTATTCGTGAGTGTACAGTGAACTCGACCGCGAAACAAAGGTCATCGGAATTCCTTCTTATGGACAAGTCGGAACAAGTATTTTACACATGTTACATATACACATACGCACGTATACACACACACACATACATATACGTGTGTGTATATAAGTATACACATAGTATGAGTCTTGATCTCTTCGAGGTTGTTTTTCAAGGGCATTGAAAGACGACTCATGAAAGCTCCCAGCAAGTTGCCGTATATGGTAAAGTCGATAATTTCGAAGCAATCGGAAGGTAACGATTGTAATAATTAATATATATATATATGATGTAATTTATATACAGAAATCAATATCTTTTTACGATAGATATTTTGTTTTTATATAAAAAATTAGAAACCTCATAAAAACATTGAAATAATATTCATACGATTTTATAAAATGTTGTATATATTTATTTTCGTTAATTTAAAGTGTCAATTTATGATTATACATTTATTTACTTATTTTCGATCGTTACATTAACCAGAATGACTTTACTTCTTATATATATATATATATATATATATATATATATATATATATATATACATATATTTTATGACTTTACTTCTTATATATATATATATATATATATATATATATATATATAATCCTTGCTTCGTTCACATTAACTAATAATCCTAGAGACTTTAAACGAATACTTAGTGGTGACTTTCGGAGCTCATAAAATTCGAATATGTG